GTCGAACTCCCCGCAGTAGTTGGGTGCTGAGAAGAGGGTGACGAGCTGGCGCTTGGCGAAGAACTCGTAGCCATCCTCCACCACCTGTGTGGGCGTTGGAGCCGGCACTGAGCTGGGCACTCCTGGGCCAAATACCACCCCCACCCCAAGCAAATACTCCCAGGGGTCCTGCCCACACGGTCCAGACAAGCCCCCCAGCACTCCCAAGGTCAAACATCCCCTTCTGGGGGCAAATACCTCCCTAGGAACCCCACCTGTACAGACCCAGGCAGCCCCAAAAGCAAATACTAGGGGTATTTGCTAGCAAATACTAGAAACGCCTGCCCCATACCCGATACCCACTAGAGACCCAAATCCCATCCCCCTAAAGGGGTGCACCCACTTGCCAGCCCCGGTCAGGTGCCCAGCGGTACCTGATGCGCCCGGCAGATGAGGTCCAGGTCGTGCTTGTGCAGGAACTTCGCCACCACCTCCGCGCCGAAGGTGAAGGAGACGCCGCGGTCGTTCTCGCCCCAGCCCTGCACGTCCTTGTCAGGGTCGGACCAGAGCAGGTCGCAGAGCAGACCCTGATCCGGCACGTCCGTGGGGCGCATGATCCGCCGGATCTGTTCCATCGACTGCAAGTCGGGAGACAGCCCTGCAGGGAGGAGGGGGCTGCATCGGGCCCTTTCTCTTCGCCAACAGCCCCTGTCCTCCTGGGGCACCCCCTAAGATTCAGCACAGAGCTCCTGTCCCCCTCTCCACCCTCTGTGGCTGCTTCCCCAAGCTCCCAGGCAGGGCCATGCCTACCTCCGTGGCAGCAGAAGATCTTCTCATCCACGATCGCGGCGATGGGCAAACAGTTGAAGCAGTCAGTGAACGTCTTCCAGAGCTTGATGTTGTACCGCCGCTTGCCTGCAAGGCAGTGGGTGTGGGTGCCTAGCACTGCCCTTTTTGGGGGTACAGGGGCGTGTAGGACTCCCCATGAACCCCTATGTGGGCTCACACCCCGCCAGGTGAAGCGCACACAGTTGTCCAGAGGCCCACCAGCCCCAGCAGAGTGCCAGCTGCATGGGGACAATGCCACGCACTGTGTCACGCAAGGGGTGTCCTTGGGGTTTGCACTCGTAGAGTCATTGGCAAGGAGGGACACAGGGGTGGTACAGGTTGGTTGTGGGTACGAGGATGGCACAGGGGTGGCAGGGGGACTCTCCTTGGTCACAGCAGCTGTCGATGAGGTTGGTGCAGGACAGCATGGGGATGGGAGAGGGGTTCTGGAGGGACATGGCCGCAGCCTGAGCACTCACACTCGTCATAGAAGCCATAGATGCGGTTGATGCTGGCGCACTCGTGGTTGCCACGCAGAAGGAAGAAGTTCTCGGGGTACTTGATCTTGTAGGCGAGCAGCAGGCAGATAGTCTCCAGTGACTGCTTACCCCGATCCACGTAGTCACCCAGGAACAGGTAGTTGCTCTCAGGCGGGAAGCCCCCGTACTCAAAGAGCCGCAGCAGGTCGTAGTACTGCCCGTGGATGTCACCTGGGTGGGGAGGACAGGGCGTGTGTGGGACCTCAGCTCCCCACAGCCCACCATGCCACCCAAAAAACTGCCCATCCACGTCCCTGGGGAAGCACGGGGTCACGCTGGGACCTCCAGCTGGCACCTGCACCCATCCCGGGGGCTTGCCCAGCCCGTGCCCAGGCACCCAGCCAGCACTCACCGCAGATCTTGAGGGGTGCCTCCAGCTCCAGAAGGATGGGCTGGCTGAGGAAGATTTCCCGCGACTTGAGGCACAGCCCCCGAATCTCGTTCTCCGTCAGCTGCACGTTCTTCCCCGGCCGCGACCCTTGGACTGGCCCCACCAGAGAAACAAGCATCAGGGACCCCACCAGTGTCCCATGTGTACCCCATGCGCTGGCACTGACGGACAGGCATCAGGGCCATGGCACACCCTGTCCCCATAGACTAGCAGGAGCGATGGGCTCAGGGAATTCAGGTGCCCACCCAACCGAGAGAGGGTCCAAGCCTACCCCAGAACAGGTGGGCATGGATCACCCGCTGCCCCAGGGCACCCCTCTCCTGCCAGAGCTGGGGGTTGTGGCAGGGCCCTCCCAACCCGCTGGGCCTGCAAATCCAGATCCTCCCCCTGGCACCCCCATACCTCA